CTATTATCCATTATTATTGATCTTGCCTCTTTTATGGGTCGATTCTTATGAATCTATTTATCTGTAGCATACATTAGCCTTCGAATACTTACTTTACTTAGGCGACCCCTTGTCACTTTTCTCTCTTTCGCCCTCCATTCGTGCCTCTTCACATTCTGCAGCACTGCTGGTCACAGCTGACCTCCAGCTGGAGCACTCACAAGCCAGGGCTTCCCAGTTCTCAGTGTCTATGCCAGAGTTTTTAAGGTTGGCTTTGAGGCCATCTTTCAGTCTCTTTTCCTGTCCACCAATATTCCTTTTTATGTTCTTGAGTTTCGAGTAGAGCAGCTGCTTTCGGAGACGGTGGTTGGGCATCCGGACAATGTGGCCAGTCCAGCAGAGTTGATGGCGGAGGACCATCGCTTCAATGCTGGTGGTCTTTGCTTCTTAGCACGCTGATGTTTGTCCGCTCGTCTTCCCAAGAGATTTGCAGGATTTTTCTGAGGCAACAGACAACGTGTTGATGGTGGAGGACCATCATAGAATCAAAGAGTTGGAAGAGACCTCCTGGGCCATCCAGTCCAACCCCATTCTGCCAAGAAGCAGGAATATTGCATTCAAATCACCCTTGACAGATGGCCATCCAGCCTCTGTTTAAAAGCTTCCAAAGAAGGAGCCTCCACCACACTCCGGGGCAGAGAGTTCCACTGCTGAATGGCTCTCACAGTCAGGAAGTTCTTCCTCATGTTCAGATGGAATCTCCTCTCTTGTAGTTTGAAGCCATTGTTCCGCGTCCTAGTCTCCAAGGAAGCAGAAAACAAGCTTGCTCCCTCCTCCCTGTGGCTTCCTCTCACATATTTATACATGGTTATCATATCCCCTCTCAGCTGTCTCTTCGTCAGGCTAAACATGGCCAGCTCCTTAAGCCGCTCCTCATAGGGCTTGTTCTCCAGACCCTTGATCATTTTAGTCGCCCTCCTCTGGACACATTCCAGCTTGTCAATATCTCTCTTGAATTGTGGTGCCCAGAATTGGACACAATATTCCAGATGTGGTCTAACCAAAGCGGAATAGAGCATGGGGAGCATGACTTCCCTAGATCTAGGCACTATGCTCCTATTGATGCAGGCCAAAAATCAGGCTTCCATGCTGGCGGTCTTTGCTTCTTCCAGCATGCTGACGTTTCCCCGCCTGTCTTCCCAAGACATTTGCAGGATTTTCCAGAGGCAGCGTTGATGGAATCGTTCCAGGATTTGAGTGTAACGTCTGTAGACAGTCCACGTCTCGCAGGCATATAGCAGGGTTGGGAGGACAATAGCTTTAGAGACAAGCCCCTTGGTCTCCCTACGGATGTCCTGGTCCTCAAACACTCTCTGCTTCATTCGGGAAAACGCTGCACTCGCAGAGCTCAGGCGGTGTTGTATTTCGGTGTTGATGTTGACTTTGGGGGAGAGGTGGCTGCCAAGGGAGCGGAAATGGTCAACATTTCCTAATGTGACACCATTAAGCTGTATTTCTGGCACTGGAGAGGGATTGGCCGGCGACTCCTGGAAGAGCACTTTGGTTTTCCCGATGTTCAATGACAGGCCAAGCTTCTCGTATGCTTCTGAGAAGGTGTTTAGAGTGGCCTGTAGATCTTCTTCTGAATGTGCACAGATGACGTTGTCATCAGCATACTGGAGTTCTATAACTCCAGTAGAAATCTATAACTTCGAATATCTTTCACTGAATGGCTATTTCCCATTATTTCCCATTCTTATTTTCCACAGTTTCCCTCACAAAAACCAGCAAGAAAGGCCTGGAAGTGAAGCAGAACTTGATTGGAGAGGTAAGGCCTAACTGGGAGCATCTGCACTGGGGAATTAACCCATTTTAGTACCGCTTTAACTATATGGAATCCTGCTAAGGCAGAGAAGGCTCTGTATGTGTGTATATTATTTTATTTCCCTATTATTAAGACAATTATTATCATAATAATATTGAAATGGTATTATTATATTATTATTTCCCTATTATTAAGAAAATAATAATAATAATGTAATAATGTAATAATAATGTAATTATATTAAAGTAATGTAATATAATTGACTGGCTGCCCTGACACAAGAAATAAAAATAATTAAGAAAATAATAATAATAATCTTAATAATAGGGAAATCTATAATAATTTAACATATTAGGACTAAACTGGCATTGAATGCCATTGTTCTTATTGATTGATTGATTATTTTTCTTATTTATACTTATTTATCTATTTTATTATTTTTAATTTCTTCTTGATTTATGTTATTTATTTGTTCTTGTTTTTATTTATCCTTATTGATTTACTTTACTTATAATAATTATTCTTGATTCACTTTATTTTTATGTATTTTTCTTATTTATTTGTCTGCTTTATTATTTAATCAATTCATTCTTATTTATTTATGTTGTTATTTTTATTTACCCTTATTGATTTCTTTCATTTATTATTTATAATATTATAATGTAATACAATATAATACTACTAATAATAATACAATATTATAATTATAATTATATATTTACATTACATGTAATATTACAATATAATGGTATACTGCAATATAGTAATACAGAATACTGATATTGTACTATGCTAATAATATAATATATTGTATGGAAATATGTATTGTAAGCCGCTCTGAATGCCATAAATAAATAATAAATAAAATAAATGATTAATCTTGATTTATTTTTATATTTTTTCTTATTTATACTTATCTATTTTATTTTTAATTTTTTCTTCTTATTGATTTACATTATGTATTCTTTCTATTCTTAATTATTTGCTTTATAATTATTTTATGTATTTTCTTTAATTTAGTGATTTTCTTATTTATTCTTATTTATCTATTCTTTGTTATTCTTTTGATTCTTATTAATCTTATTTATTTACTCTTTATTATTTTTATTTATTGGTTCTTATTCTTATTGATCAATTTCTTATTTATTCATATTTGTTTTATTTTTTTATTTATTGATTCGTATGATTTTTATTTATCTATTTTTATTTATTGAATCTTATGATTCTTATTTATCTACTCATTTATTGATTCTTATTCTTATTTACTTGCTTTTTTATTTACTGACTGTTTCTTATTGATCTACTGCAATATTTTTTCGTATCCTGCCTGTTTCCTTCCCCCTTTCCCTTCATGCTAATTCTCCAAAATCCCTTCTCCTTCAGTTGCGGAAATGTGTGGAGACCTACAAGCGCCTCTTCCTCTTCTCTGTGGCCAACATGAGGAACAACAAGCTCAAGGACGTCCGCAACGCCTGGAAGCACAGCAGGTAAAGACGGGCATCGTTCTGGGTTTCTAGCTTGCCTGTCGTCCACTTGATTCTCCCAACAACTCTTAAAGGTAGGCCACTGGTCTTGATCTTCCATTGGTCTTCAATTGGTATTCCATTGGTGTTGAGCTTCCACTGGTCTTGGCCTTCTGTTGGTCTTCCATTGGTTCTCCATTGGTCTTGGCCTTCCATAGGTCTTGAGCTTCCACTGCTCTTGGCCTTCCATTGGTCTTGATGTTCCTTTTTCCATTGGTCTTAGCTTTCCATTGGTCTTTCATTGATTCTCCATTGGTTTTGGCCTTCCATAGGTCTTCACCTTCCATTGGTCTTGAGTTTCCACTGGTCTTGATGTTCCTTTGGTCTTGGTCTTTCATTGGGCTTGCTTTTCCATTGGTGTTCCTTTGGTCTTGGCCTTCCGTTGGTCTTCTACATTCCGTTGGTGGTTCTACATTGGTTTTGGCCTTCCATAGGTCTTGGCCTTCCATTGGTCTTGATCTTCCATTGGTCTTCAATTGGTATTCCATTGGTCTTGAGCTTCCACTAGTCTTGGCCTTCCATTGGTCTTGATGTTCCTTTGGTTTTCCATTGGGCTTGGACTTCTGTTGGTCTTCCATTGGTTCTCCATTGGTCTTGGCCTTCCATAGGTCTTGAGCTTCCACTGCTCTTGGCCTTCCATTGGTCTTGATGTTCCTTTTTCCATTGGTCTTAGCCTTCCATTGGTCTTTCATTGATTCTCCATTGGTTTTGGCCTTCCATTGGTCTTCGCCTCCCATTGGTCTTGAGTTTCCACTGGTTTTGATGTTCCTTTGGTCTTGGTCTTTCATTGGGCTTGCTTTTCCATTGGTGTTCCATTGGGCTTCAATTTGTATTCCTTTGGCCTTGGCCTTCCGTTGGTCTTCAATTGGTATTCCATTGGTCTTGAGCTTCCACTGGTCTTGGCCTTCCATTGGTCTTGATGTTCCTTTGTTTTTTCCCATTGGTCTTAGCCTTCTGTTGGTCTTCAGTTGGTCTTCCATTGGGCTTGATCTTCCATTGGGCTTGATGTTCCTTTGGTTTTCCATTGGGCTTCAATTGGCATTCTATTGGTCTTGGCCTTCCACTGGGCTTGATCTTCCATTGGCCTAGATGTTCCTTTGGTTTTCCATTGGTCTTAGCCTTCCGTTGGTATTCCATTGATCTTGGCCTTTCATTGGTCTTGATGTTCCTTTAGTTTTCCATTGGTCTTGGCCTTCCATTGGGCTTGATCTTCCATCTGGTCTTGCTTTTCCATTGGTGTTTCGTTGGTCTTGGCCTTCCATTGGTTTTCCTATTGGTCTTTGCCTTCTATTGAGCTTGATCTCCCATTGGTCTTGACCTTTCATTGGTTTTCCATTGGTCTTGATCTTCCACCTTCTTTGTTCCAGGATCTTCTTTGGGAAAAACAAAGTGATGATGGTGGCGTTGGGACGGAGCCCAGCGGACGAATACAGAGATAACCTGCACCAGGTGAGGCCTGCCTTTCTCCCCCCGCCGGACATAGAGGAACCCCCCCCCC